GCGGCCTACGCCACTTATTTATCGGGTGAGACTGTTTTGGTGATGTATTAGCTTCACGAGAGGTAGACGACCGTCCTTCACACGGACGAAAGAGGGAGTGCTCAACGAGCGGCTCCCACAGCAAGGAGGGGCCTCGTGAATCATCGCGGTGCCCCCTACCAAACGGCAATCTTACCAGTCTGCGTGACACCAAATCATCGAGCCCATGTATCCAACATCAATGTTCGCAGACCCACGAATACCCTCCCTGGTTCTTCACGCAAGTGACTAACCATCAATGGGGCAAGAACGCCCCTGGATACATCAGAAAATACCAACATGGTATTATATGGAGGGGAAACCCGGCGTCCGGGCAAAACCCCTCGAAACAACCCCTAACACCACAAAAACCGTCGCTATCACAACGGATCACAACGGTCACACTTATTAGAAAGGCCAAGACGAAGACAAGAACGCGAGGAACTACGTTCCCCCGGACGATGGTCTCCCAACGCCCCCTCCTTCTGCCATTGGTACACAGACCGCAACAGTTATGCGCCTTTCCCAGCATGGAAAACATGACCTCTCCTAAGTGCTAAAACTGCTACAGCGCCGGTGGTACTGCAGGCTAGCCCTGCTAAGGGCCTTGGTCAGGAGGTCCGCGTGTTGCCCCGTTGTCGGAACGAACTTGACCGGAGTATCCCCCGACCTAAACAATCCGCCGATGAATTGAAACTCACGTCGATGTGGTTCGTGCGACCTGAGCTGAGGGGGTTCTGCACCAACGCTATGCCCCCCTGGTTGCCCTTAAGGACCTGGATGCTGCTACCACTGGTCTCTGGGGCAACAAACAAAAGCTCAGCACGCACGCACAAAGCCTCCTTGACACCCTCCCAGGCAGCAATGTACTTGGCTTCCGTCGAAGACAGAGACACGATGCTCTGTGTCTTGCTACCATGGCTGACCACGGTACCTCCAACCGTCGTCGCCAACCCTGACACCGAACGCTTATCCTCCGTGTCGGCGTAGCTAGCGTCTACGTACATGGCCAGCCCTAACCCCCATTCCCGTTGGTAGGTGATGCCGAAGTCCCTCGTCCCTTTCAAGTAGCCGAGGATCTTATGGGTGGCATCCCAGTGCCTCTTCCGCGCGCTCGAACAGCAACTCTCGCACCGCCCTCGCCTCTAGCCCTTCCGCCACGTCAAGTACCGCCGATAGCATCCAGTTGGTGAACTCCTCCGTGCTGCTGACGGGCAGGCTCGCCGCCGAGGCGAGCAGGGCTTCGGCACTTGTCGGCGACGGAGGCGACTCGTACCTCGGATTTCGGCGAGGGTTCGTCCTGGTGCGGCGGCTGGTGAGTTCCGCCGGCTTGTCGAAGCGGGCAAGCCGCCGGGCCTCTGGCCCACAGAGCGCCGGGAGATCCGTCTCGCTGTCGCTGCCGCTGCCGCTGCTGCTGCTGCTGCTGCTGATGCTGTTGCTGCTGCGGCGGTCGTCCTCGCCGCCGCCCACATCGGCCGTGACGGTCGACGTGGTAGATGGGGCGACGCTCGCGCTCTCCCTGCTCGAGGGGGCGCCATCGCCAGCGTCGCCCGCGCCCGACTCCTGGGGCTG